ACAAAGTTCTGGGTATTCATAAGCAGACAAAAGAATACCGTATTGAATACCGACATCTTTTGAAACCCAAGTGCCTGCCAATAAGTGAAGTGCGTACAGAGCATCGGATTGTAACGATTAAACAAATTGATGCTCAAAAGTTGTTAAGAATCTGGTATCCTGTTTTTACAGTCACTAGGCAGGATGGTCAGATTTGGAGGTTCAGCGAAGCAGACTTTTCAAACTTATATTTGAATGACCTTGAATATATGTACTTTGAACTCAAAAACATGACGATCAGAAAGGAAGGAGAATTGATTTCTCTTGAAGCTATCAAGAGATTTATACGCTGTCATGTAAAACTGGCGATGGTCATTGATTTGCAAATGGGTCTTGAAGACAATCAACGAATCATCAATCTTAAAAGACCAAACCAAGAACTAGAAGATATTGAAGGCTATCCAGTCTATATGGTTCTTGAAAGTCCAGAGTTCAGGGTCATCTACTTCGCTCAACTTCAAGTTAAGAAATTTATGAGATTTAGCGAGCTGAATAAATATTCTGATGGCACGATAAAATTAGTGAGAAGGGCACTTGACTTAAAAAGGGTGATGAACGATAAAGCTGCTGAATCAGAACGGATGAGCTCCATGGAAAAATATTTGCTGGTCAACGTGATAAATTTGCTCGAGGACAAAATTCAATATAGGAATGCTCTGAGAAGATTGGAGAAAATTCTTGGACTGTGAAAAACGAAATTCACAAGAGTCCAAACTTGAATCCAAAGGGGGAGAATGTTGGGTTTAAGTAAGAGCGTTCAAGTTGTATTCAAGTTTCTTCTTAGTGTGGTTTTACTTTGTAATACTGTAGTCTTACTATTTCCTTGTATAAATAGTATTTTCCTCGTAATTGTCATTAACAAGTGATTAGCAAATTGTAATCAAGAATTTCAGCTGTAATTTTCTCTCTCTCAATCAAATCATTCTTCGAATATATTCTTTCTACTATTCTGTTCATCATAATTCTTGAAGATCATATGATGTTTGTATGATTTTTGGACTTCATAGACACGCTTAGAGAGTTGCTAATTATCATCTTATTTTTAGTCTTTTGTCTAGCAGTGTTGGGTCGATCTTTTGTAACTTAACCTGGTATGAGGTGGGTTAGAACTTTAGTTAGTTTTTGGTTGATTTAAAGACTTCCGCTGTAAACGGTTTAAACGGTTTTATTTTAG